AAAAAAAAAAAGAAAAAAAAGAAAAACTAAAGCTTTTAGAAGTGGGACAAGCTTTTAATCATGATACGATTTTTAAAGATATTTATATAGTTTTTTTACCTTAAATAAAAACTAAAATCCTATTTAAAATTTTTAAGAGTAATAACCATGGTATTTTTTTTTAAAAAAAAAAGCAAAAAAAATTCCGCCAATAAAGCTTTAATTTCGAATTTCAAAACTATTTTTGATTTTATTTTATGGTAATTTTCATTCATTATGGAAACAAATTTATCTATTAATTTCAATACAAAAAAGGATACTCCATTCATATATATCACATCCGCAACATTCCATACCCATTGCAATTAATATCACTTAACTGCAACATTTCATATATGAACAGAAAACAGATATTTTCATTAATATCACTTTGTGCATTTGGAATTAATACTATATATTATATTGTGCTTTACATGATTCACTCATTTTATTTATATATGGACATATTTTTAACGAACATAACTAAGTAAACATATTTGCAAATTTCCGTAAAAGACTACCATTAACTATATAATTATTTTATTCGAAATAAGATTCTAAATTATCCCATTTCTTTAAAAACATATGAAAATTTATGGGAAAAAATTCTTTAAAAATAAATAGTAGATTTTAATATATATATATATATATATATATTACATGTATTATTCGGATCATCTATATATATATATAAAGATTCGTATTTACTTGAAATATAAACTAAAATCCCGCCTAAAAATTAAATTTTCTAAACTTGGTATTTTTTATTTTTTATTTTTAATAATTTCATCTTTAGAAATTAATTAATCGATTTATGGTATAAAGTTGACAAAATTAATAAATTTGGTTTGGGTATAAGTGAGCAATTTTATTTTATGTATCTGATAGCCATTTTTTTTTTTTTTGTAGGAAATGTGTTGTTATTAATAAATGTGTGATTTTATGGAATAAAGTGAACAATTTTATTTTGGTTTGAAATGTCCAAAATTAAACTTTATGAGTTTTATTTAGAAAGTTTGTTTTGTAATTTTTAAAACAAAATAAGTAGTATTAATTTATTTGGTATAAGTATGAAATTCAAATTTTAGGTTGATGTGTTTTTTTTTTTT